GGGTTAGATACAGAGCAAAGCTCCCTCTACACTGTCCCCATCAAACACTCCCAGAACAAGGACAGCATAGGCTTAGATAACGAGTAAAGCTTCCTCTACACTGTCCCCCATCAAACACTCCCAGGGCTGGTACAGCATGGGGTTAGATACAGAGTAAAGCTTCTTCTACAATGTTCCCATTGAACACTCCCAATAAAATATAGCACATGGTTAAATACAGAATGAAACTCCTACTTATGTATTTTCTCCTCGCTAACCAGGGCCCTAGGGATTAATAGGCTGTTCCAGAAATGTCCAAATCAAACACTCGCAGGACAGGTACAGTGTACAGTTAGATACAGAGTAAAGCCCCCTCTGTACAGCTCCTATCAAGGTCTCACAGTGTAGAAGTAGCACGAGATGTGAGAGTCATCCACTGTCTGCATCAGCCCTCCTGTGAGATTACAAAAGACAGCTTTACGACTTTATGTAAGAAACTAAAGCCCATGCAACCACGTAGGCAGCGTTGAATGTTTGGACCAGATTTGAGACCCACTGCGAAGGTGACTGGACAGATTCTGGCCTGTGAATGATTGCCCCTCATAACCTGGGCTTGTGAGCCTCCCCAGGGCTCACTGAAGACTCTGAGTCACCCAGTGCTTTTAGCATTCATGACCATGCAAATGAGACACTCCCGGGTGTACAGCTAAATCTCTACTGGAAACAGATGTCCCCACCCATAACTGCACAACACCTATCTGTCCCTTACACTCAGCGCCTCTGAATTAATTTGAAACTATGGAGACATCGTCCAGGAACAGAATGAATTAAACAGCCTGGCGTATTCAAGTGTTGTAAGCTAGAAAAAGAATTTCATTTATATAGTGCTTTTCACATCCCAAAGTGTCTTACAGCCAATTAAGTACTTTTAGTCACTGTTCTCCTGTCGGAAATGCAGCATTCGATTTGTGCACAGCAAGATCCCAAGAACACCAATGTGATGATGATCAGATCCTTTGTTTTTTTTACGCTGAATGAGGAACAAATATTGGCCAGGTCTCCAGGGGGACTCCCATCCTCTTCCTCAAAATAACATCGAGGCTCTGTAACAAACAAAGGTAGGAAGGTGCAAAATTAGAACAACAGGAGACGGTTTCGCACCTCGTGCCTGCTATGCTGTTCCAGATCATGGCTGATGTTTGTACCTCAATGCCATTTTCCCACTCGACCCTTCATGACCCTTGATATCTTGAAAACCTCAAAATTTGTTGATCTCTGCCTCTAACAATGGACAATGAGGAAGCAGGCGAGGTCATAGTTTAACGTCAAAAAATGTTGCTAGTAGAGACGGTGGGGCCTGGTACAATTACAACATTTAAAAGGCATCTGGATGGGTATATGAATAGAAGGGGTTTAGAGGGATATGGGCCAAATGCTGGCAAATGAGACTAGATTAATTTAGAATATCTGGTCAGCATGGGCGAGTTGGACCAAAGGGTCTTTTTCCATGCTGCACATCTGTATGACTCTATCTGAAAAAGAAGAACGTACAGGTTCGCGGGAGAAAGCAGGAGGTTTACCCTAAATGTTATGCTCATTCAGAGAGCCAGCGCGTGACCTGATGGGCCGAATGCCCTCCTTTTGCACTGTAACAATGCAGTGATTGTTTTTGCGTTGAAAGACGTTTGGATTTTTACAGCAGTCCAACAATTTAAAAGTCACTTTTACTGATTCATTGCATATCTCTTTGACAGTGAATTCAAACTATCAGGATGGGAATTGAACTCACATTCTCTAAAGTGGCCGATGAACTTAAGGACCACATTAGTGTAGCTAACGCCATTGGAAAGAACAGGGGTGTAGGGTAGGATACAAATCCCATTTCATTACTAACCGATTAGGGTCCTGAAGGACAATGTGGGATGTACTTTACAGGGTGTGGACATTGCTCTTTTAAGCAATATTTGCAGTCTCATAGTCTTGCTATCTCCTGGCCATGGGGTTTTGTAGCCAAGCTACCAGCTGGCACGTGGCCAATCACTAGGTATGAGTCACAACACAGAGGCTCACACTGAACAAAAGGCCACTTCAAAAGAACCCGATCCAAAACACAGCAGTTGACAAGATATCAAGCAAAGGTTGAAGGAGAGATTGTCAAAGTACTTAGACCATCCTCCCACCACCACTGTCACCCATTCACTCGATCCCCATCATTTCCAAATCACCAGCTGTTTATTACGCTCCACTAGGACCATATTCCTGCTCCAGGTCAGAATTTGCGTAATAGAATCCATTTAGGTAACCTATTCTCTTCCAGATCTCATTTGGCAGAAGCTCTGGAATAATATTTGTCGGGGTGTCTCCAAAGAGACTGTCTCCTCTTATTCTGCGGCTGGCCTGTGTTTTCCCCTATTCCAGATGGGGCTCGGCCAGGTCTTGTTGGAGTTTATAATTGACCATTCCTTTTTCCATTCCCAGGTGCCATGGTTTATCTTTTTTTTTCCGAATCTGGTTTCTCTGGAATGTCTCGATCAGGTTCTAGATTAGATTATGCACCTCGGTCTGAGACTAGGCAAAAAGCTGCAGAAACCTATGAAGCTGAACTGAAACCATTGTTTCCAGTGACTGCTCCACGCTCCGTTCCCATTACCTGGCAACAGTCAAAGATTAATTCAAATTTCAGCCCGGAATGAGCTTTTCATCTTGTAGTTGTACCTTTACTAGCAGCCTCTTATTCCGCCTTCACAGCGTCGCCAGACTTTGCTCTTACCTCAACTCATCTGCTGCTGAGTTTCTCATTCCATAAAATATCCATAGAATCCCTACAGCGTGGAAACAGGCCCTGCAGCCCAACAAGTCCACACCAACGCTCAGAGCATCCCACCCAAATCCATTTCCCTGTAACCCATCTAATCTACACATTCCTGAACACTGTGGGCAATTTAGCATCTTCAATTCACCCTAACCTGCACATCTTTGGACTGTGGGAGGAAACCAGAGCACCCGGAGGAAACCCACACAGACACAGGGAGAACTTGCAAACTCCACACAGACAGTTGCCCGAGGGGGAAATCGAACACAGGTCCCTGGCACTGTGAGGCAGCAGTGCTGACCACTAAGCCACCGTGCTGCCCTATTCATGCCTTTGTTCTAGACTTGAATATTCCGATACATTCCTGACTGGTGTCTAATATTCTATTAACTTAATTGAAATCATCTATAACCCTGTGTCTTCATTCACACCAAGTCCCAGCTCCCATCAACCCCTGCACTCATTGACTTAAATTGGTTCCCGGTCAAGCAATGACTTGGCCGTAAAATTTTCTTCTTTCTTTGCAAATCCCTCCCCACTCTTTACCTCTGTAATCGCTTCAGTCCCACAACCCCGAGATTTCTCTGCACCTCTGGTTCTTGTATGTCCCCGATTTTAATCGCTGTAACACTGTCAGATTACGAGATGCATAGATAGGATTGACAGTCAGAAACTCTTTTTTTTCCCCCAGTGTTGAAATGTCTAATACTAAGGGGTGTGTGTTTAAGGTGAGAGGGGAATAGTTCAAAGTAGATGTGAGGGGCAAGTTTTTTCACACAGGAGAGTGGCAGGTGCCTGGAACACACTGCCAGGAGTAGTGGTGGAGGCAGATACAATAGGGGGCTTTTAAAGGGCTTTTAGATAAGCACATGAATGTGAAATGACTGGAGGGATATGGACCAAGGACAGGCAGAAGGGGTTAGTTTAATTTGATGTCATGTTCAACGCAACATCATGGGCTGAAGAAGGGTCTGAAGAAGAGTCCCACCCGAAACGTCAGCTTTCCCGCCCCTCCTATGCTGCCTGGCCTGCTGTGATCCTCCAGCTCCATACTGTGTTATCTCTGACTCCAGTATTGGCAGTTCTTACTATATCATCATGGGCCGAAGGGCCCGTTCCTATGCTGTATTGTTCTGAGTTCTATGGTGACAGCCTAGGCTCTAAGGTCTAAATATTCCCTCCCTAAACTCCTCTGTCTCTCTCTCTCTCTCTCCCATTTCTTCCTTGAAGAGATTTCTTATTACAGACCCCTTCCTGGCCATCCTAACTAAGATCCTCTTACGTGGCTCAGTGTCAAACTTTGTTTCATAATCCTCCTGCAAAGCATCTTGGGAATTTTGTTATGGTGCGCTATACAAATACATGAGTTGTTGTTAAAAACATTGAAGTCTACTCTTCCAAAAGAGCAAAAAAAAAAGGGGGACGGGGCCAGGAACTTGCTGCTAATTGCTCATTGTACCTGTCTGACCATTAACATCTAGAAGGCCTCTCTGAATGAAAATACTGTGCAGAGTGCAACTCACGAGTAGCTTGCCAACTCCTTCCAGTTATATCTCGGCCTTGTGAATGCGCATCATTGTCGGCCTTTTCTTGGAGGCTTAACAGAAGTTTCCTTAGCCACGTGTTGTGTGGCTAAACCTGTTTCTGCCAATTCCCAAGCTTGCTCTCCTGGCACGTAGGGTCAGGAAACTGTTGATTCCTTCAGATTCCGATGGAATTCTGAGAGGATGTTTCCCCTTGTAGAGAGACTAGAACTCAGGGTTACAGTTTTAATAGTGAGAAGGTCCTGCATGATCTTCAAGAGGGAGATGAGGAGGATTTTTCCCTCTCAGAGGGAGAGTCTGTGCAGCTCTCTTGCCCAGAGAAGAGCAGAGGGAATTGGATTTAGTTAAAACTGAGTTATTAACTAGGTTTATGACAGATAAGTGGTCAAAGGCTATGGGGCGCAAACGGGAAAGGGGAGTTAAGATCTTAATCAGGTCAAACAAAGAGCATAGGAACAGAAATAGGCCATTCAGTCCATCGAGCCTGCTCCTCCATTTAACAAGATCATGGCTGATTGAATATTTCAAAGCCTATTACCCACATTATTCCCTTTACACTATTGATAACCAGACATTTCTCTGCCTCTAGAATCATAGAGCCATACAGCGCAGAAACGGACCCTTTAGTCCAACTCTTCCATGCTGACCAGGTATCCCAAACTGAACTAGTCCAATTTGCTTGCATTTTTCCCATATCCCTTTAAACCTTTCTTGTTCATGGGCCTGTCCAAATATCTTTTAAATGCTGTCATTGTACCAGCCTCCACCACTTCCTCTGGCAGCTCTTTCCATACACACACCACCCGCTGTGTGAAAAAAATCACCCCTCACATTCCTTTTAAATCTTTACCCTCTCACATTGAACCTATGCCCCTCTAGGTTTGGACTGCCCCCATCCGAGGAAAATGGCCTTGGCTATTCACCCCATCCATGCCCCTCATGATCCTACAAACTTCTATAAGCTCACCCCTCAGCCTCCGACGCTCCAGGGAAAATAGCCCCAGCCTATTCAGCTTCTCCCTGTAGCTCAAACCCTCCAAACTTGGCAACATGCTTCTGAAGAAGGGTCTAGGCCTGAAATGACAGCTTTCCTGCTCCTCTGATGCTGCTTGGCCTGCTGTGTTCATCCAGCTCTACACCTTGTTATCTAACATGCTTGTAAATCTTCTCTGAACCCTTTCAAGTTTCACAACATCCTTCCTGTAGCAGGGTGACCAGAATGAATCACTGATTGATCTTTTGCAGCCTTCTGGGATAGAGAATTCCAAAGGTTTACAACGTTCCAAGTAAAATAAAAATTCTTCTTATCTTGGTCTTTAATGGCAACACATCCCCCACCTCCCCCCCACCCCGACTTGTTTTAATTTGTGCTCTCTGATTCTGGACTCTCCAACTAGGGAGGAACATCTACCCAGTCTATCCCTTTAAGTATTTTGTAAGTTTCAGTGAGCTCACCTCTTGTCCTTCAAAACTCTAGAGAGTACGGGCCCAGTTTGTCCCATCTCCCCTGACAAGACAGTCTATGAAACAAGTCTGGTGAGTCTTCATTGCATTCGGTCTATGAGAATAACACCTTTGCTGAAATAAAGAGACCAAAAATTGCAGACAGTACCTCAGGTGCGGTCCATTCAAGCCTCTACACAATTGAAGCAAGACCTAATTACTCCTATACTCAAATCCTCTTGCGATAAAAGTTACCATTCCAAGAGGATCCCTAATAGTTTGCTGCACCTGTATGCTAGCCTTTGGCGATTTATTGACAAAGACACCTTAGTCCCCTTGTACCGCGACACTTTCCAAACCCTCACCATTTAAGAAATACTCCACACATCTGCTCTTCCTACTGAAATGGATAACCTCTCATTTTTCCACATTAATTTCCACCTGTCGTGATTTTGCCCAAACGCTAAGACTGTCCAAATCCTCCTGGAGTCACTTTACATCTTCCTCACATGCAAATTTCCACTGAGTTTTGTGTCATCCACAAATTTGGAAACATTACATTTGGTTCCCATGTTCCAATCATTGGTATATATTGTATGTACCTGTAGAAGCTTTACAGCTCATTTCTTTTTTGCTAGATTTGTATTCTATTCTTGGGGCCCCAAGTATTGATCCTTGCAGTCCCCCACAAATCACAGCCTGCCAACATGAGAATAATTCATTTACTCCCGCTCTCTGGTTTATCTGTTAGCCAATCCCTCATGCATATCAATACATTACCTCCTCTCCCACATGCTGTAATTTTGCTAACCAACATTCTCTATGGGAACCTTAACAAAAGCCTTCTGAAAATCCAAACATACTACATCCATCGTTGCCCCTTTACCCATTTTGTTAGCAACCTCCTCAAAATATTCCAACAAGTTGATTTTCCATTCACAAAGCCAATCAGATCATCTTTATCTAAGTATTTACTTATCATGTCCTTAACAATAGATTCTAGCACTCCTGTTGTAAGGCTGACAGGTTTGTGGTTCCCTGATTGTTTTTTTCCCCTTGGTCCTTCTTTAAATGCTGGGCTGATACTTACAAGCTTCCAATCTGCAAGAATCCTTCCAGATCCTGTAAAATTTTGGAAGATATTCACCAATGCACTGACTATCTCTACGGCCACTTTCTTCAAAACTCTGGGATATCGACCATCAAGGCCTGGGAACCTATTAACTTTCAACCCTATTAATTTCCCCAGTACAACCTTCTTACTAATATTAACTTCATTCAACCGCTCATTCTCATCACTCGGACCTCTACTTCTAAGAGATTCCTTATAACTTCCTCAGTGAAAACAAACACATTTAGCTTCTCTGCCATTTCCTTATTCCTAATTATAAATTCTCCTGACTCTGCTTTTCATAGTCCAGTACCTGTCTTGGAGAAATATCAGCTTTTTATGTACCTGTAGAAGCTTTACAGCTCATTTCTTTTTTGCTAGATTTGTATTCTATTCTTCCCTTATCAGCTTCTGTGTCCTCCTTTGATGTTTTCTAAAATCTTTCCAGTTCTCACATTTACTGCTATTTCTAGGCAGTTTATAAGCCTCTTCTTTTAATCTTATACAATCCTTGACTTTCTTTGTCAGCCTCAGTTCACTTATTTCTTGAAGGAGTGTATAGTTACTGTAAGCCATGTCATAGTTCTTTAAAGATTATCCACTGTGCCTTCATAATTATCCTGATCCAACTTTAACACAGAAACTAAAACAGAAATTGCTGGAGAAAGCTCAGCAGGTCTGGCAGCATCTGTGGAGAGAAATCAGACTTAACGTTTCGGGTCCAGTGATGAACTTTAACACCGGATTGACATTTTTTAAACATCATGTAATATCGCATTGTGGTTGCTCTCCCTAAAGGCTATTTTACAGCAAGATAATTGATTCTCCCTTTTTAATTACATAATACAAGATCTAAAATAGCCTGTCCTTCAATTAGGTCCTCAACTTATCGCTCCAACACACTCCAGAAACTCATCCTTTACAGCTTTAATGTTAGTCTTTATGCAGATTGAAGTCATCCATAACTGGGTTCCCCATGCTACGTGCTTCTCTCATCTCCTGATTAATACCATGCCCTGCACTACCTACAAATAATTCCAAAAATGTCTGTATTTTGTTTGCTCTTTCATAACACTACCCAAACAGATTCGACACATTATTCTTCCAATTTGGGATTGTCTCTTACCAATCCCAGTCCATCCTTTATTTTCAGTGCAACTCCACTGTTGTCTGTCCTTCCTAAACCTCAAATTTCCTTGAATACTCTGTACCTAGTCCTGGTCACCTTGCAGTCATGTCTTTGTAATGATCCTCCCAGAAGGGTTGCTCGACTCAAAATGTTAACTCTGACTTCTCTCCACAGATGCTGCCAGGCCTGCTGAGTTTTTCGGCAATTTCTGGATTTTCTTTCGATTGCTTGAGGCTACCAACAGATACCAACATTAACGGCTTCTAAACAGACTGAGCCAGGAATCAGGCAGACAATTACTATGGCTACAAAAGCAGTTGAGCCCTGGGAACTGTATAATCACTAAGTCATTCCTGATTCCCCAGAACCGTCTATCATCTACAAGGTAAGGGTCAGGAGAGAGACAGAATATCCCTCATATGCCTGGCTCCAACAAACTGGACAAAAGAACCTATCCACTATCTTTAACATCAACACTCTCCATGGTGTTTTTTTTTCCTTTATTCATTAGCAGGACATAGGCATCACTGTCCAGGCCAGCATTTATTGCCCCATTCCTAATTGCCCAGAGTCAGTTCAGAGTCAACCACATTGCTGTGGGTCTGGAGTCACATGTAGGCCCAGACCAGGTAAGGATGGCAGTTTCCTTCCCTAAAGAACATTAGTGAACCAGATGAGCTTTTCCAACAATCAACATTGGATTCATGGTCATCGTTAGATTCTTAATTCCAGATATTTTTATTGAATTCAAATCCCACCATCTGCCGTAGCGCCAGGTGCCCAGAATGAGTCTCTGGATTAACAGTCCAGTGACAATACCACTAGGCCATCGCCTCCCCTTATGTATATCATTGTGTATCATCTACAAGATGCACTGCAGCAACGTAACCAGGTTTGAGTGGCATCACATTCCAACTTCGCCTGGAAGATCGAGAGCAGCAATTGCATGGGAACACCAGCTCCCTTCCAAACAACACACCATCCTGACTTGGAACTATATCAGCATTCCGTTACTGCCACTGGGTCAAAATCCTATGACTTCCCTCCCCGACACCCCTGTGGGACGTACCTGGAGGTTCAAGAAGGCAGCTCACCACCATTTTCTTGACAGCAACTAGGGATGGGCAATAAATGAAAAATGGTCCCAGCCAGTGACACCCACATCTCACAAGTGAATAAAAAAGACTAAAGTCACAGGTTGGACGCTGAGAGACGGGATCCCCCTGGCTGGAGGATTTGGAACCACATGGCATCATTTCAGGATAAGGAGTTGGCCATTTATGGCAGGGATGAGGATAAACCTCTTCAGTCAGAAGGCTGTGAAACTCTGCAAATTATTATCCTAGAGATCTCTGGAGTCTCAGTCAAAAAGCACATTCAAAACAGGGAGATAATTTCATGGTAGTAATGTCGCTGGGACAATAGTCCAGAATGGAGAATAATGCTCTAGAGACGTGGGTTCAAATTTGAATCAAGGGTTACAGGAAGAAGGCAGGAGAATGGGCACTTCACTTCAGCTCTGATGAAAAGTCATCTGGACTCGAAACATTAGCTTGCTCTCTCCCCATGGATGCTGCCTGACCTGCTGTGATCTCCAGCATTTGTTGTTTTCAGTCGAGAAACATATCAGCCATGATTGAATGGTGGAGCAGACTCGATGGGCCAAATAGCCTACTTCTGCTCCTACATCTTACGATCTTATAGAGATTGATAGATCCTTGGGTATCAAGGTTACAGGGACAGGATGGGAATTGATGGAAATGTTCGACAATGATCTCATTGACTGGCAGAGCAGGGCTGAGGGAGCGAAGGACCTACTCTTATTTCCTACATCCTTATCGTGGAGGAAGAGTAGGGATATCAGGGCTCATCTCATCACTGAAGCTTGTGGCTTGACACAGTCTGCAATTGCCTTTTCCTCTTCCTTTCCACTAAAGGAATAATCCTTTAGTCCAGTAGATGTCCCACAGCACGTCAACACTGTTTGTCTTTGTATCAGTGCCAACAATAATCACCTGATTGAATGATTCAGCACCAATGGGCCCTTCCTGTGTGGCTGTTAACTCCAAAAATAATAACCCTTCAACATCGGCGTTATGTTTTAAGTGTGCACAAGCTAGCTTACTCTTTCCCAAATCCTGGGTGGTTGTAGGTGCCTTTCCGTCACGAATTCTCACGTTTCTGCCAGAGGCAACATAAAGACAAGGAGATGTCTGAGTGTTCATTTCTTTCTGGGTGATGGCTTCAGTATTAGATACTGTAGGGTACTTGAATAAGAAACTGAAAGTATAATAGGTGCAGATAGCACATGTATAGCAAATTGCCACTCCCTCCATTAACACTTTCTTAGTTATAGAGTCATAGAGTCATTCAGCACAGAAACAGACCCTTTCTTCCAACTTGTCCATGCCGACCAGATACCCTAAATTAATCTAGTCCCACTTGCCAGCATTTGACCCATATCCCTCTAAATCGTTTATAGAATCCCTAAGTGTGGAAGCAGGCATTCGGCCCATCGAGTCCATACGAACCCTCCAAAGCGAACTGCCCTATCCTCATAAGCCCACATTTCCCATGGCTAATCCACCTAGCCTGCACACCACTGGACACAATGGGCAATTTATCACGGCCAGTCCACCCTAACCTGCACATCCTATTCATATATGCATCCATACGCCTTTTAAATGTTGTAATTTGTACCAGCCTCCACCACTTCCTCTGGCAGCTCGTTTCATACACACACCACCCTCTGCATGAAAATATTGCCCCTTAGGTCCCTTTTAAATCTGTCCCCTCTCACCTTAAACCTATCCCGTCTAGTCTTGGACTCCCCTGCCCTGGGAAAAAAAAAGCCTTGGCAATTCACTTTATCCATTCTCCTCATGATTTTATAAACTTCTATAAGGTCACCCCTCAGCCTTGGATACTCCAGGGAAAATAGCCCCAGCCTATTCAGTCTTTCCCTATAGCTCAAACCCTCCAATCCCAGCAACGTCCTTATAAATTTCTTTTCAAGTTTAACATCTTTCTTAGAGCAAGAAGACTAGAATTGAACACAGCATTCCAAAAGTGGTCTAACCAATGTTCTGTACAGCTGCAACATGACTTCCCAACTCCTATAATCAATGCGCCGACCAATAAAGGTTAATTCTGATTTCAAGTGCGTTCTTTCAGCCTGAAATATGGCAATGGCTAATGCAGTGGACATGAAACCAAAATAGCCTCAGCCAGCGTGCTTTTGCTGCTCTCTGGCAGGAAGATGTAGTTGGATTCCTCTGCAGTTTGCTCCTGGTCTCACTTCCCACAGGCTGGTGACCTGGTGGTCAATGAGGGGGAAGGTTGACAATGTATCACTCTCCCAGTGGCCTCCATCCATCATTAGCTCTTGATCAGTGCTCAGCAAGAGAGGGGCCTAATGGCAGCTCTAGGATAATAAAAGCCCAGAGGGTGTGCAATGCACCTGCCCAGGATCTGGGCTGCCGGCCATTCAGCCCCTCTGCTGCGACTAGAATTGCAAAGATGCTACCAAAGAAACGGAGGCTCCAACCGACCCCTAACGTCCAACTGGCTAGAGATTTCAGCAATGCTGCGATCAGCTTTGTGAAATTGTAGCAGCTCCATGCTGGTCGTGTCAGACCAGCTGCCTACATCACCTGTTCCTGTGTCTGCCATTTCCGAAAAGTAGCGAAGAAAAACTGAGAAAAGTTGTGGCTCTTTTGATTGGTAAGTGACTCAAGCTCTTCTCTGTACTTCCCCTATCTTCCGTTGGAATGAATTGATTTTATTTTGATTTGATTTATTATTGTCACATGTACCTAGGTACAGTGAAAAGTTTTGTTTTGCATGCAATACAGGCAGATCATAACATACAAAGATCGTACGGTGATAGAACAGAGCGAGGAATACAAAGTTATGGCTGCAAAGAAGGTGAATGATTTTAACAGACTTGGCATTGACGTTTAAAAGCGCAGAACGATTGTAAGAAACGTGAGAATAAGATTTGCTCGCAGAGAGTTGCCCTGTGTTGGTGCCACCTTGAATAAACAAATTGTCTAAAAGGCCCCTCTCAAATTCCCATGTGTTCTAGCAGATTGCACCAGACCTACAATGCCAATGGGTTGCCCAGGTATTGGTCTTCATGGAAATAACTCCCCAGACCATTGGTAGAGTCATTGAGGCCTACAACACAGAAAAAGACCCTTTAGCCCATTGAGTCTGTGCTAGTCAAAAACAAGCACCTAACTAATTCTAATTCTAATGCCATTTTCCAGCACTTCGCCCCTAAAACCATGTATGTCTTGACATTGCAAGTGTACATCTAAATACTAAACATTTTGGCTAACAGCTGAATTAATTGCACCTGGGACTGATCATATTCCATTCTTTTATCGATTCTTAGGATGTGGGTACTGCAGATAGGCTTTTGTTGCCCATCCCTATTACCCTTAAAAAACAGCACTCTGAACCATTGAAGTCCATGGACAACCACAGTGCTGTTACGGAGAGAGTTGGATCCAGCAACACTGCAGGAATGCCGACGAATTTCCAAGTCAGGACGGTGAGTGGCCAGGAGGGGACCTTGCAAGGTGTGGTGCTCCCATGTATCTGCTGGACTTGTCCTTCTAGATGGTATTGATTTCAGGTTTGGAAGGAAGAGGCTCAGCTGTAGTGCATCTGTTAAAGGGTGAACAAAGCACAGCATGGAAATTCTGGAAAATCCCCTGCTCTGGCTGACAAAAGCGAAATAACATAGAATACCAGAGTTCTCATGAGAGGTCATTGACGTGAAATGTTAACTCTACTGCCTACTCTACAGATGCTGCCAGCAGTTCTTTGAAGAGGGAAATTTGAAAACATTTCTACGCTCAGAACTGTGGAGCTCTCTTCCTCAAACAACAACTGACACTGGGTCAATTATTAATTTTAAATCTGAGACCAATAGATTTTAGTTAAACCCAAGGTTAAGGGATAGGGGGCAGACGTGGGTGTACAGAGTTAGATCATAGATCTGGTATGACCTTACTGAATGGCAGCGGGGTGGGGTGGTCTGCTGAATGGCCTCTTCCTATTCTGACATTCCTATGCAAATAAAGAGAGCAAAAGTGATGAGATACAGGTTAATAATTCCATAAATAAAGAAAATCACACACTGCAATTCATTCCTAGAAGGTTGGAATTGGAAAACGAAGAGGTTGTATTGCGTAGAGTCAAAGATATTCACTTCTTGTGCTTAGATCATAAGAAATAGGAACAGGTTGAGGCCATTCAGCCCCTTCAGCCTGCTCTGTCATTCAATAGATCGTGGCTGATCCAACATTCCTCACGCCCACTTTCCTGCCCTTTCCCTGTAACCCTTGATTTCCCCGATTGATTAAGAATCTATTTCAGCCTTGAATATACACAAGGACTCTACCCCCACAGCTCTCTGTGGCAAGGAGTTCCAAAGACTCACAACCCTCTGAGAGAAGAGATTCCACCACATCAATCTGTGCGGAGTTTGCACATTCTCCCCATGGACTGTGTGGGTTTCCTCTGGGGGCTCCGTTTTCCTCCCACAGTCCAAACAGGTGCAGGTTAGGGTGGATTGGCCGTGCTAAATTACCCCGTAGTGTCCAGGGATGTGCAGGCTATGTGGGTTAGCCATGGAAAATGCAGGGTTACAGGGATAGGGTAGAGGGAGGTAGGTCTGGGTGGAATGCTCGGAGGGTTGGTGTGGGCCCGATGGGCCGTATGGCCTCTTCCACACTGTGGAGTTTCTATGATTTTATTCTATGATCTCAGCCTTCAATTGACGCCTCCTTATTCTGAGACTACGCCTCTTAGCCCGCACTAGCATCTACTGTGAATATCTTTGGCTCTATACTAAGAGGGAAATCAAGACAGTGTAAAATAGTACTCTAGAACTGAGAGATTCTGTCTGTCAGGAAAGATGAAGTAAGCTGGGGTTCCTTTCTGTAGATGTGACAGACTAAGGAGTGAATGTAGAGAGGAGTTTCAGATCACAAAACACTCACAAGCTAGAACTAGGGAGGCATTAATATAACCTAGCCACGAATGAATCCAATTGGGAATTCAGGGGCAAATAATCCTTTACCCAAGAAAGTGGTGCTAATCTGGTTCTCCCTATCTCAAGGAATTATTGAAGGAAATAACACAGGTACATTCATGGGTGAAACTATATAAACACATGACGGAGAAGATTATATAAATAGGGTGGGATTAAAGAGGAATTTATAGCTTGGAAGAAGGCCATTTGGCCCTTTGGCTGACAGGTATCCCAGCCTAATCCCATTCCTCCCAGTTTGAGGCAAATATCCAAGTCCTTTTGAAATGTGGGGAAGGTTTCTGCCTCTGCCACTCTTTCTGGCAGTGAGTTCCATTTCCCACCACCTTCCCCCCTACCCCCAACCCCCAACTTCAGCATCTTCTGGGTGAGAGAAAGAAAAGTTACCCCTTGAATCTTCAAAAATTCACCTAGAGTCATAGAGTCACACAGCACGGAAACAGACCCTTCAGTCCAACCAGTCTGTGCTGACCATAATCCCAAACTAAACTAGTCCCACCTGCCTGCTCCTGGCCCATATCCGTCCAAACATTTCCTATCCTTGTACTTATCTAAATGTCTTTTAAACATTGTAACTGTACCTGCATCCACCACTTCCTCTGGAAGTTCAGTCCACACACGAACCACCCTCTGTGTAAAAAAAAATTGCCCCCCATGTCTTTGTTAAATCTCGCTCCTCTCACCTCAAAAATGTGTCCCGTAGTCCCCCATCCTAGGGAAAATACAACTACCATTAACTCTATGCCCCTCATGATTTTATAATTTCACCCCTCAACCTCCTACACTCCAGTGAAAAATGTCCCAACCTATTCAGCCTCTCCTTATAGCTCAAACCCTCCATAAAACCTTTTACTCTAAATCTTTCATGTCCTCCGCAGTTCCAACACCCACAACATCCTCCCCTTACCCAATAGGGCACGGGGAGAGACTGGACATCGATCTGTTGGACTGAATGGCTCTGCGCCACGCGGACTTTGTAAAGTTAACGCCTCCCACATGCCACGTTGGATCTCACTGGCTGTTTGTGCAGCGGGTTCAACGCACTGTGATCCTGATCCGCGCACGTGTGTGTGTGTCAATGGGGAAACTTGCAGAGTCCCGATAACCCTGGTAACCCTGAAAAGATAAGGGGGAGGGGGCCGGGGAGTATGGCTGACATCTTGGGTCAGCAGGCAGGCCCTCAGGGTGAGACC